GCAAACTGCAGAGATTTTTTTCCCCCCAAGACAGGGAGAAAGCTGTAAAGCAGAGGGGGGGGACCACGTGCACCGCTGAAATGACTTCTTTACTCACGAAGGAGAGAGGTAAAGGGAACATTTAAATAGATCATTCAGAGTTTCTTATAGGAAGTTCCAAATGGCAGCAGTTTATAAATTCTTAAAAAAGGAAATGCTAGCAGCAGAAATGAGAACCAAATGTACTCTGCAGTCTGCTCTCCACATAGAAGCTCGAATCACTTTACTGAGGTTGCTTACAAATGAAAAGCACAAAAACAAATCGCTCCCGTTGATTAATTCCTCAGCATCTCCTCCAGCACCTAACCTACAGAAGGTAAACCAATAAATGTGTGCTAAACGCACGAATGCTGAAGGCAAGCGGGGCTTGTACACATGGTCTCAGTATTACAGACAATAAATTCTGACCTCTGAATCCAAGTGGAAGAGTCCATGGAAAAACCTCGTTTGAAACGAATGCCGTGGCGGAGGGTCACAGCTGAACGTAGTTTACTTCTGAAGTACAAAAGGAAGATGGGAATGCAGGCTTCCGGTTCAGAGAGAGAACCAGACCTTTTCGTGTCGCGTGGAAAACCATCGAGTCGACGTGAGAAATATGCATGCTAATCTGTCATTGTTTTAAGTCACAAAAAGCTATGTATGCATCCTCGTCTGCGCTACGCCTTAGTGAAACCGTGTCGAGCTACTGGGCTTGGCTACCCTGGTTGGCATGTTCTGAAGGGAAACAGGGTGAACGGTGACCTATTTCGCTCAGGCCGGCGGCGGTGGCGCGGGGCAGGAGTGACTGGGCCCCTTGGGTGGCACTCGAGGGACTGCAGCGAGCACACGGGCCATCCTGCACCCGTGTCCATTAGCCGAATGATTAAATATACATCAACCCTGTGGTATAATAAAGTAATTCTAATAGGGCATTGTCACAGGATCAATGTTTCCTAGTTTAAAAATAAACATTAGCATTTATCTAGCAGCAGAAAACTATTATCCCATGGTACTGTTTTATTCAACTGACATCTTTTAATCAAAGCAATCCGTATTGTGGCAACATTCCAAGGTATCATGATTGCAAATATCTACGGCAAGTTAGGTAATAGCTATGTTTTTGTTGTTAGCTTTTTCTTCCTCTACGGAGTCGATGCAGATTATTTTCTAATGAATTAATTCCATTAGGAAAAAAATCCAAAGTAATTATATTACTCGAGACAACCTCTCATCTACCTCCTCGGGTTTCACTTGTAACTATTACACACAACCATTCGTGTGTGTTCCAGTCTTCTGAATTTTCCAAAATACCCCTGTGATGAATGTAAGTAAAAAGAAACCTTTTCAGTGGCCTAGATGACGTGGCTAACACCCCACAGACGGAGGTCCGGATCCCCTGCCAGGGGCTGGCGGGGAGGGGGGCGGCTCGGGCACCCCAGGTGACATCCTGGGGGGTCGAGCCCGTGGGCTGAGGGTTGGCAGCCGGGACTGGGGTGCAGGAGTCTGGCTGGAGGCCCGTTGGCTGCTGCTCCCCACCAGGGTCTGTGTGACTTGCGCGCTTCCAGGATCGGCCAGAGAAGCGTGGCGCCAACTCGGGGCGAGGGCTGAGCCGAGCAGTCGGCCGCCCCTGAACTCGGCAGGCCTCTTCTGTGATACCCATTCTCATGAACTGCCCTCCGCTTCACGTTTAATTTACAGGTTCTGGAAAGCCCCGCGGAAAGCGTCCTTCCCTGCCTCCCTGAGACAGACTGGCGTGTTTCCTTGCTACGGCCCCCAGGTTCACTCCCCACGAGCATCAGCGGAGATCTTCAGGCAACCAGAAAAGGGAAAACACACATTTTCCTCAGTCTGAAGTGTGTTTAGTTTCAAAAAGAAATCAGAAAAGCATCTCGGCGCGAGTCTGGGTTCTACTTCTTCTTGAGAGTGACCGCACGAGGGATGAAGGGCAACATCTCTGATGAGGGTACAAACGGTCCGAGTGGCCGAGGCCGTGGGAGTCACGCACCAGAGCCTCCACACGGCTCCGCTGAGCGGGAGGCACGGAGCTCCAGGCCGTGCCTTAGCGATCCCAGCCTCACGGCGGCCTTTGTGCCCAGGGAGAGGCTCTGCAAAGCTGCTCAGCGTAACCTCTCGGAGGCTTCATTTCCTCACGTGCAACATAGAGCCCCCAGCTCCCCCCGCTCCCCACCCCCGGGTCACAGCTGTGGTGAGGGAACGTTCTAGAAATGTTCTGCACAGGGCAGAGGGAGCGCTGGCTGGAACAGCAACTTTCCCTAGAAGGTTCCTGTCAAAGCAGCTCCGTCCGAGGCAGGTTACAGAGAAGCGGCCTTCCACACACCCAGCAGGGCGGGGAGAGCCGAGGGAGCCCCCGGGCGGGCAGTGCGGCTAGGCCCGAGGTGCCTCCGGGCTCCAGCGTTTGTCGGGGCCGTAGCAGCTCCCGCCCGGCTCTCAGGGACTTCCTCAGAGCAGGTCCCTTCAACGGCAAGCATGCCTCTAGCCGGAGGCGCCCGGACAGGCCAGGGGAGGCCACCCTCAGGGAGCGGCCCACCAGCAGGGGGCGCAGCGGCCCCTGCCCCTGAGGAGGGCTGGGCCGGGGGCCTGGGACGCCAAGGGTCCCACCTCCCTCCTTGGATCTTTTGTTCAAATCAAGAATTTCACAAACCATCCCCAGAAACTTGTAAATTGTCTAGTTTACAGAAGGGGCTGACGATGACAAACGGAGCTGTGTTTTGGCATGGGTTTCTGAGTTTGCAAATACAAAGATTTGTGTGTGCAAAATATATAGGCACCATTTGGAAAATGTTAAGCTACTTACATATGGTACATATGCTACACACACACACACACACACACACACACACACAGTTTGTTTTCAAATTAATTTGAAAGGCTATTTAGCTCTGAGCTATCACTGCATTCAGTTATATCAGACCCAACACAGCCTGCAAGTCCGCACTGATATCTTTGGATAGCAGTTCTGTTCCTGGGATTTGTTTGAAAGCATTTAGGTTTTCACGGATCACTGGAGGTTCCTCATTTTTCCCCCTTCTGTGTTATGTAGGTATAAGCCATCTCTCTAGGCATAAACTGTCCACTGGTAAAAATCAATTTTGATTTTATCAGTATTTATTACTGCTGGTGCCAGCAATTTAGAAGACTAGAGAGGGAAAACATGCAAATCTAGACGAAGGAAAAAAATTAAAGCCGGGTCCTCATACCTACAAATAATATGGCCTGCTGTCTTTAAGAGGTATTTTGTATTGTATGTAGAGAGCTTAAATTATCAATTTAAAAACTCAATCAATAAAAATTTACAGGATTGTTATTGCTTACATCTCTTTTGTATTTGTGGGCTTGGTGGCAGGTTTCTAAAACAAAGGCACCGCTCCCAGAGGTGCTGCAAAGCAGCACCCAAGGCACCAGGCAGGAGTCTGGCCTGCCCGTGCCGCGCCAGTTTATTCTACGTGACTCTTCCCCTCTTGGGACAGGCCAGGCCACGTGAGAGGACCACACATCTACCCTCTGCCCTCACTCTCTCATGCTTCCTCTTCTGTCATTCCAGGAGAGACACTCAAAACTGCGGACTTCCCCAGGTTTGAGTTCTGGCCCCCGACCCTTAGCAGCGCTTGTGCCACACTCTCCCTCTCCTGACACACTCTACTCACGGGATGACTCACATCATATCCAACCTTCCCACCATTACCTTCCTTTCTCTCCCGGGGAGTTCCCTTCTGTTCAGCCAAAAAAGCTTCATAAATTAAGATGCCGCCACCAAATCATAATCTCTAAAGGAAAGAGAGATTTTACAGGAGGATTAGTTGGAAAGATAACTGGGGATCTGTAATTCTGATTTTCAGCTACAAACAAAAGGCCCACATCTTCTGAGAAGCTGAATGTCGTCTCCTACAAATACATAAAACGCTAAGTCACTTCCCAAGACCTGGAAAAGAATAGATATCTGAGGCACTCTTTTTAAGAACTTAGTCGTCTCCGTGCACGCACGGGCAAATTCCAGCCTCATAGGCCAAATCCCACCAGCTGCTTTTGTGAATAAAGTCCATGGGAACACCCAGCCACACTCCCTGAGAAAAAGTCTACAGAGCCCTGCTCCAGGGAAATGGGACTGTGCTGCACTCCCAGGAACAGTCTGAGACCCTCCTAATCACGGTCCTTTCGAGGCCATGAGCTGCTGGAAGCTAAGAAGACTGGTTCGCTACAGCTCACACACTTGGACAGACTGTACTCCACTTACAGAAAATTAATGGCAGAAGGCACAGTCTTTTCACCCTGTTCTCAAAGTCCCTGGATCCACGTGGACAGTACCGGGACTAACTTCTACTTGGGCAGCCCTCCATGTGCACACACTCCACGCAGTCCGACCACCAGGCGGGTGGCTGAGAACCAGGTCTGCTCATGTTCCCCATGAGCACTCAGGATATAGTAACTTCTCATGAAGACAGAAGCTACTTACTTAGACCACAGACACCCAGCCTCTCAGGCTCTAGGTCCCTGATCAGATCCTCAGGGCCAGAAGTAAGGCCCTTCTGCCCTGGCCAAGCTCAGGAGAAATGTGACTCAAGTGGATGACTTCTAAGAACTGTCTTCCTTTCGATGACTGTCTTTTCAAACCCACCCATTTCCCGGAGCCATGCTCAGCATGCCGGTCCCTAATCTTCTGCAAGGCTCCTTGACACAGAGGAGACATTTCTTTCTACTGAGGGGCAAAGCAATGGAAAGGTAAGGGTGACCAGCTGCTTAAAGATTTTCAGCAGTTTTATTTTTACACTCTCAGTTGAAGCCAATAGTACACACACACACACACACACACACACACACTCACACTTCAAATCATTAAACATATATATTTCTCATTGAATTGATAGGGCTCATTTTAAAAACCAACCTTCCAATAACAAAATAATATTGAGGATCATAAAGATAATAATTTCCCCCCTATAGCAAGTGTGACAAAATGACAAAAGAACTCTTAATTCTGGGGCTTTATTTTAATTCTTTTTCTTTTTAAGATGCTACATAGTCAAACAGAATTGGATTGGTCTTTTATGGCATAAAATTAATTTACAGTCAAACTCTCAATCACTACTTGACGATTATCTGGAGCCTCTCACCCCTCTCCCGCCCCGACCCAGCTGGTTCCTTGTCTGCTACCATTCTGCTGCCTCATTCCAAGCAAGGGCCACATGGGAAAGGTCAGGACCAGACTTGGGGCACATGTGCTGGAAGAATGAGTGGTGGCTGAGGGGTAATGAGGGAAAAAAACAAGATCAGCCAGTCTTCTCCAGTTAGAAAGGGTAACAGAGTTGACTGTTGCTACTAAGGACTTCCCTCTCTTTGACAGTTGTTATTTATTTACACAGTGAAACACTTCTGGCAGCTGTTCTACAACATTCCAATAAACCACACCTCCAAGCGTACATAGAGCCCAGAACTTCGAGAGAGAGAGAGAGAGAGAGAGAGAGAGAGAGAGAGGCAGGCAGGCCCACAGCTCTCCAGCAGCAGTGCCAGCGTCACCCACTGGCATTAGGTAGCACAGGTGATTTTTAGGCCACAGCATTAATTATAATCTTGTGGCAATAAGGAAACATGAGATGAGATACATTAAATAAGTTAAATATGCATTAAACATCTCTGAATAACAATTCAATCTCACTACATGAACCAACAGTAATTTAGCTTGGTCCCTTTAAGAGAACAAAGCATTGACTTTCATTTCCAAAGTGTTGGGTCAGTCCACCTCCTGCTGCCTCCCACTGCCTCTCACTCCTGATGGGCAGATCTGACACTGCCACAGCACAATGCCATTGGCTTCTGACCCTGTTTATGAGTCCCAAGGAACTGACAGCCAGGGACAGAACGTGGAACAGCAGCCCAGAGAGTGAGTGAGTGGGTGGGGCTTGTTATGTGGAGGTGACGGCCCTCCCCACTGCACCGGGTTCCAGCTCCCCAAGGCCCGGCACCAACAGGCAGGAAGAGTGTCTTGTTCTAAGAGAAGTAATCAACCCAGCCCCATGTACCAAGGCTACACATGTTTAAAATGACACGACATGCCATTACGATTTAATCACGGTTTCCCTTGTCATTAATAAAGACCATTCTTTTCCCCCAATCATTTACTATACATTTTTAACTCTCTAAAGGATTGTTACGTTATAATTGTGTGTGTGTATGTGCACGCGTGCGCACAGCGCAGGGAGGGAGTAATTTAAAGGCAAGACCTGTGAGATGTCATCATACATGAACTTCTTTTTTACACATGGTTATGATAAAGTCAAAGCCCAGGGGATGCGGGCCCATCAATCCAGTGTGCCGCCCTGTGCCCACTGCCTCTACAAGGCGATCTTCCCTATGATCACACCGACGATGAAGAACAAAACCACGAGGGCCAGGAGCCGGGCGCTGAGGCCCTCCTCCTTCCCAGCTGGAGCTAACACAGGCACAGGGCTGTTGCTCTGAGCTGTCTTCCTCATCCGGAGTCCATCTTCCTCCTATGGGAGCAAAGGCACATTTCAAAGACAACCCAAGGCACCAGAAGCAAAAGTCAACTGTACAGTTCCAACAGGATGGGCCTTTAAAAAACACACTTGAATCACATGGTGTGGACCAGCCTCCTCATTTTTCAAAGGGAGAAACTGAATCCCACAGAGAAGGCACTGGGTTGAGGTCACTCAGAAAATATTGCCAGAAACCCCTCTTTCCTTCCACCCACCTACACAATGCTGCTAGGCACCTTTTTATACCATACATCTAAGTACCTTGGTTCCCCATGACTTACAGAAAAAAGCCTCTGAAAGGCTCAGCCAGTCTCTTCTGCTCCCAGAAGCCATCTACCTCTCTGACCATGCCTCCGGGCCACCCTTCTACATCGGACTCCAACCCTCTCTGTCCTCCCTCCCTCTACGGAGCAGGCTTCCCTAACCAAGTCATCCAGTTTTGAAATGATAGGCATTTCTCAAAGCACAAATATAAAAATCACAAGAAACTACAAAGGGGGAGAGGGGCAGCAGCTTTCAAATGCAGAACTCTGTATTGATGAGTTACATGTAGACTGCTGGACAGAAAACATGATATTTGGAATATTAAAATGTGACTGAATCTCATATATGTAGCTCAGATATTTTTCTACTTAATGCATGGAATAGAAACTTTTTCTTCCTTTACTCCCAAGGCCAACTCCACACCCCTCAACAGGGCATGCAGCAAGGCCTCTGTACTTGGGCTCAGGTGCATCTCTGGCTAATTACCCCAACTACTCATCCCCAAACCTGTCCGTCCTGGAGACAACAGGCAGGCCATTGAGCTGACTCTCCACAGCACTTGTGGCCATCTCTGTGGGGCCACTCATCATTCAGCTCATCAGTACTTTTGTCCCCAGCTACCCTGGTCAGCAGGGAGCTCCTCAGTGGCAGGGACAGCTTGTATTTGTGCCCACAGTGCTAGTACATGGGAGGGGCTCAGAAAATGTGTTGGCCAAATGAAAGAATGAAACAACGCAAAACAAGAAATCAGTATTTGGCAGGATAAAGAATCTTCTAACATCAAGATTGGTCTGATAATATTTTAAAGATATTCTGCTCATGGGGCATGGCCAATATCGCTGCACAGTGATAAATGACTGGTGTTATTCGATTAACTTCAAAAAAAAATGGGAACAGCAAAATACAGCATTTATTTTATTGGGTTTATACAGAAGCTATTTCTACCTATTTATCACTTTAAACGGCACAGGACTCTGTTTCTGAAGAGAAATACACTCAAGGAGAAGCTTTAGGCATATCTTAGATTTTTAGTCAAAAAGTAAAGTGTCAGCTTCATAATTTACACCATACTAAAAGAAGTTACTGAACGAGGCAAATCAAGATTACTGCAAAAAAAGAAGATGATGCCATTCTCCAGACACTGTCAGGTCTCCTGTATCTATAGCACTGTCAGAACAAAAGAAAGAGAAGTCAACTGAATGGAATGTATTTATTACATGTGTCTAGTGCTATGGTGGTTAAAGAGCAAAAGCCTAGGGCATGGGTGAGTGGCGTGATCGAGAAGTGAATAGACCAGCCTCATATTTAAGCTGCAACAGACGTTCCTATGACCAGATGCTCAGAACCATTCTCTTCAAGACCATGTCTGAAATAGACATACTTTTAAAGCTGGACGGCGCCTCAGACAGGTTTTGTGAGTCGAGGCCCAGGAGATGCTGTGACCATCACAGATCCAGAGCTAGTCAAGTGTGAGCAGTCACTGGCATAACACTGTAGGCCAACAAGGCCAAATGAAGTGCACCCTACTTTCCTTTACTGCCCAGTTCAACCTGACCCTCTTAACACCCATGCCAACTACCTCTCCAACAGCCACAAGCTGGAGACCCGGGTGTCTCCTTCTATAATCTTCACCTGTCTACTGTGACAACTTCCCATCTCCAATCTCATCACCATGTGAACAGTCTGAGGAGATCCTACTGCCCAGACCCACCTAGAGTCTTCAAAAACCAGAATTATGCCTATGTTAAAAGAGTACAGGTATTGACCTATTTACCCTCCTAAAGAAAAGATTCTCACCTACTGGGGATATAGTAGGGTTTGACACTGTGAATTCAGGATAACCACTGCAGTTTTGTGTTTAGTCTCAGAATTTATCTTCAGTTTACACTAATGCGAAGGCAAGAGGAGCTCTTACAAGAGGACAAGAGTCTGCAGGCTGAGGCTGGAGAATGGAACCACTGTGAGCTCAGGGCACAAAGCCTGGGTTCAAGTCTCACTGCAAGTACGACCTCAGGCAAGTCACTTAACCTCTGCTCCTCAGTCTCCTCACCTGTACACTGGGGATGGTAACAATCCCTACTCACAGAAAGGCTTAGAGGATGAAATACATTATTACAACATATCAAATACAAGGGAACAAGAATTTAAATAGTTAAAAAGCTTCTCCTCAGAGACAGTGGTTAACTTGGGGAGTGGGGGTGGGAGTGGGGTGGCAGGAGGGAATCAGAGCTCTTTTGAGAACCTGATGAAAGCCACAGAAATTTCTCCCTAGGGGAATAATGTGTAAATACAAAACAACTCTACAAATTCAGGGATTTGTCAACTCCCCCACTCAAGATCAGAGTGTTAAAAAGTCCCTGTTTTTTATAGATTATCAAGAAATAAAACACTATTGGAGTGCTCAGTTGATAGAGCATGTGACTCTTGATCTCAGGGTTGTGAATTCAAGCCCCATGTTGGGTGGAGAGATTACTTAAAAAAATAAAATCTTAAAAAAGAAAAGAAATGAAAATGCCATTACCTTGAATTGCTTGTTTTCCTCCCGGAGCCTCTGCACTTCACCCTGCAGTCTCTTACACTCTTCCATCACCTTCTTAACTTCAGTGTCATCCAAAGAAGAACTCAGAGCTTTAGACACCGTTGGTGTTTCTGTCTTTGATGCAGTTGTGGGTATAATTTTATTTATTTCTACATCATGCTGTTCAGAAATAAATGAAAGCCCAAGTGTCACCAACTATGTAATAAAGGACTTTTTTATGCAAAGTAAAGTAGTTCTCAGCAAACACCACACGTGGTAGTGTTTCATCCACACTGTAAAATGTCACATTTATTTTAAAAATGGATCAATTTATCTAGTATCTTAATAATCTAAAGCAACTGGGCCCTAGAAATTATGGATAAGGACAAATAATGAAGTTCGGCTGAGACTAATACTTCAAAGGAAGAGAAAAAAGCCTGTGCATATTGCACGATCAAATTCCTGCCATGTAAAAATTAGCATATCGTAATTGTGCAAGCTCAGGAGTTATCAGCAACAAATTACTGTCACCAGGAAGACCACAACATCCCCAGGACGGGCTGGGATGGGGGAGGTGGGAGGCCAGGGAGAATGTTATACAGAGGGCGATTTATTTCACGAACTCAGAACTTCGAAGCTGGGTTGAGGGTGAAACTAGCTCAGTGTCTGCTATTTCAATGGAGGGAAGCTACACATCCTCTACTTCCCCACCGAGACCATAACGACAGCCTCTGGAGAGTGCCTGGGGAGGAGACACTACCAGGGAAGGCATGGAAGTGGTCAGATGTGCTGGCCATCACTGCCCTGCAGGTTCCATGCAGCACACTGAATACGACTGGCTCTCCCTATTGCACTCTCTCTAGTATGACTCTTCATCTTCCAGGTGAGAAGAGGAGAGCCCTGCAAACAGCAAGGCTCCCATCTACAAAGCTGGTACAGCACAGAGCCAGGAGCAGAGCACAGGTCTCACAGCTTCCCAAATCAACCTTCCTGGGACAAAATATGCAATGGGAATAGTCAAAATCAACAACAAAAATCCCATTACCCGTTCAAAGAAACAGGCTAATGATGGTGGTCAGTCATTGAGCAGGAAGAAAATACAGTAGCTGTGGCAAAATCAATAGCGTTCCGGAGATCACTATGGACAACGCTAACAGAATGTGAGCATTTTGATTTCCCAACTCCAGCTATTAACAGCCAGGGTAGTGGAATGTTCTACAGGGTGTTTTTAATACAAATTAAACTTTTTCCGACTAAGTGGAAGGAAGGTCCAAATTAGCATTTCAGATACAGTCTTCTCTCTTCAACTGGTCATGAGCAAGGGCCATGACAGGCCTGCCCCTTGGTTTCATGGAGAAAAGCGAGCTGACAGCTTGGAGGCAGCTAGTCCTTTCCCTTACGACATATGCCTTAATGCTAATAACTTAGGCAGCACAGGGGGTGACTCATGGACAGTGCTTCTGCCCCCACCAGCGCACAATGGGCAGTGTCTGGAGACCATTTTAGTTGTCACCCAAGAGGAGTAATCACCTCACTAGTACATAGTGAGGAGAGGCCAGGGATGCTGGTAAGACAGCATCCCCCAGCAGAGAAGGATCCAGTCCCGACGTTAATAGTGCTGAGGTTGAGAAACCCTAATCTAAAAGCAGGTTTTGCCTAAAGAGGCAGGAAGGTAAAAGGGGTGGTGAGGTGGTGTTAGGGGAAAGAGTATACAGAGAGCCCTAAGACAGCAGTTTATACAGCAACAGAACCTGAGAGCTTACCACCTGTCCATCAAGCACCATGATAAACGGCAAATTATTCCGTTTTAGACTTACCCACTCTTTTACAGCAACCTATCACTTTGCCAAGTAAAAGAAACTCTTTAGGATTTATGACATTTCAACAGCCAACAGGTTGCACTTTTCAAGAAAAAAAATTGTTTCAATTAGTTCTCTTTCTCCAAGTCTCTCAAAGGCTGATTTCGTGAAGGCCCACTTATTTGTTGACTTCAGCTTATTTTTTTCATCAGACATCAGAAGAAGGAAAATAATTTGCCAACTTAAATCTTGGTTTTGCAGGAGATGGTATGCAAATAAGTATCAGCTTGCAACATTCAATTATTGTTAACTATAAACATACTTACTGGTTTATCATTTTCTGCTGGCAATTCAAACACACATCTAAGTTTTGAATCCATAAGGTCTTCCGGTTTTGCCTCCTTCCACTAAAACAATTTAAATTTAATAATCAGGATATTATAAAGCTGCTGGAAGAATAATTTTCTTCCTATAACTGACAATTTCAAAAAAATACTCTTAATGAGAAAGCCCTGATGTATATCAAACAAAGAACTTACGTCTGCTGCGATTTCAATATTTTTAACATGACAAGATTAAATACACTAGCTTTCCTGAATATTTATTACACTTTCCAAATCCCAGTCCTGCTGCTGCCTGATTCCTCCAAGTCAACCAATGCTGCTCCTGTTGCTAGTCTGTGGGAAGCACATGGGACAGAAACAACCACTGTTGAAGGAAGAGGAATGTTCTAAATTATGTCTGGGTGGTCAGAGGTCACTCTGGCTCTCCTTAAGAAAATAAAACTTACGTTGTCAGGTACATCCTTCTTAGGGTAGCGTATATTACATGGGAGTGGTTTTAGAACCACACTGCCAACTATCAACAGGGTGAACTAATGAGTGAACCCCTGTCTGGGCTGAGCCCCCCCCCTCTCCGGTCTGCTGGTGAGGACATCTTCCTGACTAAAGCCATGCTCTGGGATGATGTACTCCTGGCTTAATCCTCCTCCTTTGGGCAGTGGAGGGCAGGAATTCCAGGGTATGCTGAGAACTGCAGACCAGCGTAGCCGGAAGGTTAACACAGAAAAAAAGAACAAACTTTCCCACCCTCGGCCCAGGACCATGCAGGAGGCAGCTAGCGCAACATAGGTACCAAGAGCCAGAAATAGGAAACAATCTGTATGTCAAGCAATAAGGAACTGCCAAATAAACCATGGCAGGTCCATTCAGTGGATCAGCATGCCATTCACAAGTGATACTGAAGAGTATTTAATTGCACAGGGAAAATTCACAGAACATTAAGTGAAGAAGCTACAAACAATATTTTAAGTCTGTTCCTCTGTATACACACAGTATACAAAAGTTCTTTTGTGTGTCAAAAGAACATCAAGCAAGGGTCAATCACTAGACACTAAACCACCAGGTGAGACTGCTGGTGAGGTTATTCACGTGGTCTCCAAGCGTCCAATTACTCAAGAGTATCAAAGATCACATATTAACCACAAGGGGCAACCTTGCCTTGACACTGGAAAGTTGGCAGTCACCAAATTAACAAAGTAATCCAACTTTTAGCATCACCAGTAGAGGGACAACCCAGTACTGAATGCCTTCTGATATGATGCATACATGATATTACTTATGGAATATTCTTGCTAAAAAACATTTAACCTGAATTTAATCATGAGGAAATAAGTGGACAACCCCAAGAACTGGCCTGTTCTCAAAAAATTCAAAGTCATGAAAAACAAAAAAAGGCTGAGGGTACTGTACTCTACTTGACTAAGAACAACCAACGGCCACTTTGGAGCAACTGGAGAATGCGGCATTGGAGTTTCTCGGTTAGATAATATGATTGGATTAATGTCAACCTTCTCAGCTGTGAGGGCAGTCAGTGCTGTGACTGTGTTAAGACACTGTCCTTGTTCTGAAGCATGTAGGAGCAAGTGTCCTGAAGTCTGTGTCTTAGAGTCAAGTGGTTCGGCAAAAAAAGAAAGTTTATAAGACAAATAAAGCAAATGTGGCAAAGTATTAAATGGTGAATCTAGATAAACGTTATAGGAGTAGTCACTGTATAATTTTTTCCACTTCTACTCTATAGATCAAAATACAAAAAAAATATAGTTAAAAATAAAGAAATAGCACAAGGCTCTGAATAACAGTGATTAGGTCTAGTATAAATAAATAAATACAGGTCAGTTTTAGTTTTATTTGTGCGTATTTGTATATTTCCAAATTTTCCTACCATATACATTTCATTTCATATAAAAATTTTAACTGTTATGAAAATTATCATAAAAAGGAGTGAAATTCACCCTCATTGTATATAGAGGGCCTGGCCTACAATAGTGCTCAGATACAACAGCTTTGGAGACTGTGCCAGGTGTCTGACACACACAGCACACGGAATCCCACGACCAGTGTAAACTACGTTTTTATCCCCCTTTTACAGGTAACCCAACCCTATAGAGAGTTAATGAAAACTGCCCAAGGCCACAACATTAGTAAAAGGCAGAGCACAGCCCCACACCCAAGACACCCAAGCCCATGCTCTTGTCACTAAGCCATGCAGCAAAAGCCAAGCAGAATACATTCTTGGATATTACAAATTTTGTATTTGCCATACATTTCCTTGCTCACACAAATTAACATGAAGTGACACATCATGTTCTGGGAATAAAAGAAAAAGTAGTAAATGCCTCAATAATCATTCTTATGAAAGGGGAAGGTAGTCTATTATCACTCATCTCTCTCAAATCTCAAGGTATCTGGCTTACCCCTCATCTCCTGCCCCAAACTTAAACATCCACAAAGATGGTCATTTGTGCTTTTCCAAGACTAACAGAAAAGGCTGAATGGGACACTGGGACATGAAGGGAAGTGGTGCATAGAAAGTCCTTTGCATAAAACTTGAAAGAGAAAAACCACGGTGCTTTGTGAGCCACCACTGCCTCCCAACTGCAGGTACTCCTCAGGTGACCAGTCTCCTAGCCTGGGGTGGTGAGCTGGAAAGCGATGATGCAGATGTTGAGGGAACCTTGCCTTCCTCTTCCCATCTGTGAGTGTGAGGACTCTCCAGTCTAGCAGGGGCTGTGTAAGGTAAGGTTTATCTGTACATTGTGATTCCTGCAGACAGCAGAATGTCCGCCGATTTCTTCAAATGTGGGAAAAGTTTACTTTAAGAAGAATTTCCATTATAACTTTTTCCCAGAAAAACCAATAATATAATATCATTTATTCATTTTATAAAAACAAAGTCATCTTATTTTTACTGAAATTAGAGAAAGGGTTAAACATGTATTTAAGCAGGAAAAAAAAAAAAAAAAAGAGGGAAACTAGGGAGGGGGAAAAATCATGCTTACCAGAACCAAGCAAGGAAGAAACCCTTTGGCACTGGAGGACATTTAAGTATTCCATTCTCTCACATCCCTCTGGGCTCTTGCAGGGTGGGGGTCAGGGTGGTGGGCAGGGAGAGGCGGTAAGAGGCATTCCCTATACTAAGAAGTACCCTTTCCTATGGAGGATGGAAAGGGGGTATAAAGGGAAGAAATCCTCAAACCATTTAAGACACAATTCATCAGAACAAGGAAGTGCTGAAGCAAACTGTGATTTTAAAAGAGTCAGAAAAGAATAGTATTCTAGAAAGTTACATAAAATGTTAAAATAAAAGTCTGAGGAAAAACCATAAAGGTAGTCAAAGTACAAACCTCCTTGAAAACACCATTCCCCTTTAAAAACAACTTTGACACATTTTGAAATGCATGCACCCAAAATTCTGTACCTCATCTTTTTTTTTTAATTACTAAAAAAAGTAAGAAGCATTCAGTACTTACTACTGCTTCCATATCAGAAGTGTCAGTCGGAGCAAACATAGACTGAACCATAAACTTGTGTTTACTTTTCTCATTGGGGTCATAATCGAAAGGCTGTAACATCACTGAGAAAGAAAATATTTCATTAGGAGGGTCAGAGCTTGGTTACCCGCAGCCATTTGTTATGTTAAAACTTGTACCTTGGTTATAAAGCAGTTTACCAGGATTCTCATCTGAGTCTTATAAACACCCCAGGTGAGGCCAGCAGGGCAACATGCCCAGTGTCTTCTCCACTTTTCATGTTTCAAACCTGAGATCCAGAAGTTGGGGGACTCGCCCAAATCAAAGAGCAAGTAGTGGGAGAGCTCGGACTTGGGCTTAGGATCCAGGTTTTTTGATTCCTAGCCCCTGGATCATTCACAACTGCCCACCTGACACAGAGGTCTGATATAGGCCCTACAGACGAAGTAAAGTAGGTACAAATACCATATGCTTTTTCGCTCAAGACAAAACAGCAAAATGATCTTTTCAAAAAGTAAACTAGAAGAATAATCCAAGACATGTAAGTGACAGTTTCATTTTAGCTTTTCTTGGTCCCATTTCCCCTATCAAGGTATTCATGCATTGCTTCAAATAGAATTTGGCCAATGCAGCATCAGGAAACTTTCACAACCAGCACAATCACAGCACGGGAGAACATAACCAGCCTACACCCCAAGAACCTAGAGGAATCTCATATACAGGCTCCCTCCGGCAAGTCACGTCCACTGCACTAAGGAGGTGCCTCCCTGTTCCTACTGGCTTCCTTAGAACCTTCCACCCTTCTGAAATGGTGGCTGCTTTGAAATACATGATCCGCTGATCTGCTGCAAGGCTCTGGCTAAACCACACATCTGGATAAATTCCGACACACACCTTTTCACACGCAGCAAATGCCTCCTGCAGCCCTGACCATGAGAAGCCCTAATACGAACTCAGCGTCTCCCATGTGCCAGAAACCCAGCTCTGTATGTTAGGCTCTGTATGTCATTTAACTTTTAAGAGGTAGGTACTATTGCAGAGATTATTTTAATGCCTGTTTTCAAGTGAACAAACTGGAGCACAGAAAGGTTAACTAACCTGCCTGAGATCACACCATGAAGGAGGGACACTCAATGCAGGTTGCCCACCACAAGAGACTGACTCATCCTCTACCAGGTCGAGTGTTGTCCTTCACAAGCGCCTTTCCTGCAGGGCACTCATCAGGTTCTGTGGCCTTTGAGCCCCATCTTATGGTTTCCTCTAAAGCTTACTATCCACTACCCTCTGCAGCAGATAAAGGGCACATGTCCTAAACCCTAGTTCACACTGTCATGAAGCAGCAAAACTTCAGAGCCAAGTGCAACCCAGCACCCACTCCTTCTGCCACACCAGTCACTCCAATAGAAGACAGATTCACATTCTGCGAATTCACATTCCCCTATCATATCACATAAAAAAAGCAAATAGGGAATCAAAATGCAAATATCACTGACATCCATCTTTGGGACACAGAGTTCCCTCTACCTTCAGGACAGAGAAAGTCTACTGAAATCCAACAACACAACAGATTTCAATGTTTCGGTATACACAGTTGCCCAGACAATTCTGCTGCCCACATCACCCATCTGACGTGCTCTGAGTTCCAGGGGACATTACTGGGAGACTTCTTCAAGATAAAAATCAATAAATGTACAAACCTTTCTTAAAGGTCACAATCTCAGGGTCATTAGATCAACCCCCCCACCCCCGTCTAGCTCCATGCTCACAGTTGAGTCTGCTTCTCTCCCTCTGCCCATGCCCCCTCCCCCCATGAGTGCACATGTGCTTTCTCTCTCTAAAGTAAATATAAAAAGAAAAAGTTCGCGTCTTATACACAAGTGACATCAAGTCTAGATACCAATACAGATATTCTGAATACCCAAATCCAAAGTGTGACCACCAGCAGAGAGAACAAAAGGTCATTTAAAACTCAAGGCCACTCTACCTGGAATTTTACTCTTGCAGGTGCAGAGGCACAGTTCCCTCCCAAAAGAGCTGTCCTTGCTGGTGGCTTTGGGCCTGGAAGGCAACTATCTCTCCCTCTAGCACCACCAAGTTGGCAAGAGCTCTCCTGGGGACAGACTTGGGGCATCATTGCACACATGGGCTTGACACTTAACCTCAGGGACAAATGAGCAGACTAGCAGATCAGTCCCCAGACTCTTCTGAAAGCTAAACTCCCATCATGCTTTGTCTACCTCCAGGGATGCAACAAGGAAAAAACACAAGAACAAATAGGGGGCCAATACCTTCACATGTACTATGATCTCTCTTGGACAAGGACTGTCAACCTTCTTTGAAGTTGGGTCACAGTCTTCAAACTACTGTTCAGATTGTTTTTTTTCTTCTTCTTCTTAAAGATTTTATTTATTTGAAAGAGAGAGAGTGAGCTTGAGCGGGGGCCGAGGGGGATAGCAGAGGGAGAAATAGAGTCCCCACCAAACAGGGAGCCTGACATGGGGCTCAATACCAGGATCACGAGCTGAGCAGAAGGCAGATGCCCAACTGACTGAGCCACCCAGGTGCCCCTGGATTAATGTTCATTTAAAAAAATTAATGTGAATTAGGTTTTGAGAATTTCAGGTTTCACTTGGCTGTGACAAAATCATGCTCCGGTATTTTTTTTAGCATGGGAAAGAAGAGAACTTAGTCCTACACTACAGATGTCCAGCAGCATGCAAGCTCTAAGAGCAAAAACTGCCTAATCCTTGAGATTTTATTTTCCCAGCTGTGAAAGGCCCCCTATAGTCCTCCACCATGGAGAGCTCTGAGGCTGAACCAGAATTATCTGTAAAAAGCCCTCAATGCTCAGATGATAGCAATCAGAAGACACTGCTAATTTGCAGAGAAGCTGGCTCTTTAGCTCAAACTACATTGGGTCACACACAGACAACTGACGGGTCCAGAGAACCTAAGTCCCCTTCACCTGCAAACAGCCTCAGAAATATCTGCTATTCTCCTTCCATCCCCCCCAACCCTCTTCCTTGAAGCAGTGCAAGTTAGAAAAAAAAGCCAAGAGACCTTCCTGTGGATTCTAGGCATGTGCTAAGACAAAACTGCCCCTTCCCATCTCTCCACCCCACTGGAGCTTCCCAGTCCCCTTCACAACATCTCAGGAAGGATGGGAAAAGGACCTCACTGGTGCCACTGTCTACCAGGCTCCACAGAAGGCATGCTTTCATTGCTTCTCCCAGTCAGTCCCCACAACAATCCACCAAAGAAGCCTGTGTTTCACCTTCCAGATGAGAAGACAAGGGCTGAGAAAGGCTGACTGGTCTCACTTGGATCCCATGGCCAACATATTAAAAGATAGAGCCAGAGCTCCATACCGGCTTTGCTTCCAGAGTCAGATTCCACACCCAGGTTCTCAAAGCACTATCCAGAGAACCCCAAGGGTCCCCAAACCAAGTGATCCATACACAGTCTAACAGCATGGTCGTGATAACACCAAGACGTTCTGACCTTCTGCCAGTGCTGAGCTCTGCAGGGATGGCTGGTGCAAAGTGGAAGAGTAAAATTGCCAGCGCCTCTTTTTAAAAAAAAAAAAAAAAAAAAAAGCCAGGCAACAGCACCCACACAGCAGAGTCTTTGTGTCAGGCATTGCCACACTTGCAACATTTTTTAAAAGGCTGTTTTCACTTAATAATATCCTGAAGGAAGCAATAAAAATGACTAATTTACTCAACTTCAACCCTTGACAACACATCTTACAAGGAAATGCAAGTACATGTGAAGCACTCTGCTCTCAGGAAAAGTGGCTATACCACTGTTTGGGTTGTGAGCTGAACCAGAGGCTTTCTCATGGAAGACCAGTTACTTGAAAAAACAATCAACAGAAAAACAATGGTTATTCAGACCTGAGTATATATATGGCAGATATCTGCTCAAAAATGAGTGAACTTCACTCAAGGAAAACAACTTATAGTAGTTGCTGCAAATGATAAAATCCAGCTTTCTCCCAAAATGAGACTTTTGAAAAACTTCTGACATCAAGAGTTCAGTTTCTCAAACACTTGAAGACTTTTCTGATGATATCAGTGACTTTTTGATATTGTGTCAAGAAATATGTCAACATTTAGAAGACCTGCATAACTCAGTTAACAAAGAGTATTACAAAATCCATTCAAAGTGCAAGAGAGACCAATGCATTTTAGTGAAACAAAGTTCAAATAGTTCATTGTCATGGTTTCAAGGTTCCACATAGACCTGAACTTTAAGAAAAATGCCACTTGTCAAGTTTTGGTGTAGTATCAAAGTACGATATCCACAGTGATCTGAAAAGGTTAGTGAAAACACTCTTTCCTTTCCCAACTATGTAAGTGTGACAAAAATGGTTTTCCTTCATATACATTCACCAAAAGAACACATTGTAACAAACTAAATAAATGTAAAAGCAGGTGTGAGAATCCAGCCTTGTCTTCTGTTAAGCCAGATATTAAAGAGATCTGCAAAACATGTCAAATAATGCCAATCTTCTCACTGAATTTCTGAAGTTACTTTTCATTAAAAATGTCACTGTTAGCATGTAATTGACTTATTAGCGTTCCTGAAGTTAATTAATACACTTTAAATTTCTCAGTTTAACTTACACCATGATAAATATTGATACAAACCCCAAATGAAAAGGCTCTTTGGATCTTCAATTTCAAGGAGTGTAAAGGGGTCCCGAGACCAAAAGGCTGAGCCCTGTTATTCTAACAAGCTGCCTCACATGCCCTTCCAGGGGGAAAATAACCTGGTTAAGTAATTCAAGTAAAGGACTGGTAGGTCTTTCAGTGCCTCTTAGGAGAAAGTGCAGTTTAAAAGAGAAAGCAACTAGGGTGCCTGAATGGCTCAGTCAGGGGAGCATGCGACTCTTGATCTCCGGGTTGGACGTCCATGTTGGGTATAGAGATTACTTAAAAAGAAATTATCTAAAATAAATAGATAAATAAAAGTGAAAGCAACTTCATAAACCAAGCCATGCGAGTCCCAGCGGGCATCCAGGCCCTGGGTGGAGACAGAAGTGTCCACACAGGCACCATATGTATCCACTACAGGAAGGGGCTGGGGCTCCCTGTCTCCT